CTCTGTACCCAAAGTCTGCTGAAAACTCTTCCAAAACCCTGATACAAAACTCAAATCCCTATCCGATATAATAGATAATGGAATGCCATGCAACTTCACAATCTCTGTAATGTAAAGTCTCGCCAGCTGTTCCGAAGTGAAATCAGTGCGAATAGACAAGAAATGAGCTGATTTAGTCAACCTATCAATGATGACCCAGATGAAATTGTGATCTTTAAACGAATTAGGCAATTCCTCCACAAAATCCATAGAAATACTCTCCCATTTTCACTCTAGTATAGGTAAACTGTAAAAATCCTGGCGGCCTCTGATGATCGATCTTGACCATCTAACAAGTACTACACTGATAGATAAAAATAGCAATGTCCTTCTTCATACTTGCCCACCAAAAACTGCCACTTCATATCCTGATATATTTTGTCTCCTCCTGGATGAACTGAAACTCAGAATAATGAGTCTCAATAATCACATCCTTTCTCAAATCGTCAGCAGAAGGTACTACTAAATGCCCTTTATACCTAAAACCTCCATCAGTCCCAACATAGTAAAATGAAACCTCCCTAGAAGCTATTTCTGTAACTTTGTCAATGCACTGCTGATCCGTGAGTTATGCCTTCAGGACCTTATGAATAATAGAAGGTGTAACTAACATGCAATCCATAAAAACATTAGACAACTCATTAACGGTCTTTAAAGCATTCCACTCAGTGGTGAATAAAGTATAAAGACTCACATAGGATCGGTGACTAAGTGCATCTACCACCACATTCGCTTTCCCTGGATGGTACTGTATAGATAAATGATAGTCTTTCACAAACTCTAACCATTAGTATTGTCTCATATTCAGCTCCTGCTGAGTGAACAAATACTGCAAACTTTTGTGATCACTAAATAATCTGAATGACTCTCCTAACAGATAATGCCTCCAAATGCGTAAGGCAAAGACCACATCTGCCAACTCCAAATTATGTGTTAGATAATTAAGCTCATGAGGCTTAAGTTTACGAGATTCATACAAAATTGGTTATTCCTCCTACATCAAAACACACCCAAGACCTTGCAAAGAAGCATCTATGTAAACCAGATATTCTATCCCGCTCTGTAAAGTAGACAAAACTGATGCAGAAGTCAACTTATTCTTTAGCTCATCAAAAGCTTTTTGACAGTGTTCATCCCACACAAACCGTATACCCTTCTTAGTTAAATGAGTGAGTAGTCCTACTATCTTTGAGAACCCCTGAATGAACCTATGATAATATGCTGCTAATTCAAGGAAACTCTGAATCTCGGTAGGTGAAGTAGGTTGTCCCAACTTTACCACTGCTGAAACCTTAGCTGGATCTACCGTTATTCCCCTTTCTAACACTACGTGACCCAGAAACTTCATTTCCTGCTGCCAAAATTCACACTTCTAAAACTTGGCATATAACTTGTGGTCACGAAGCGTCTACAACACTATGCGAAGATGTCTAGCATGATCATCCTCTGTCTTTGAATAGATTAAAATATCATCAATGGAGACAATGATAAACTGATCTAAGTAAGCCCTGGAGACTCTGTTCATTAAATTTATGAAGACTGCTGATGTGTTAGTCAATCCGAAAGGTATGACACGAAACTCAAAAGAACCATATCTAGTAAGAAACACTATCTTAGGAACATCTTGCTCCCTAACCTGAAGTTGATAATATCCAGAATGCAGATCAATTTTAGAGAAGTATGTAGCTCCCTTCAACTGATCAAAAAGATCATCGATCTTGGGCAAAGGGTACATGTTACGAATAGTAACCTTGTTCAACTCCCTCTAATTTATACACAGGTGAAGTGAACCATCCTTTTTCTTCACAAACAAAACTGGTGTTCCCCAAGGTAAAGTACTCCTACAAATAAAACCCTGAGTGAGCAATTCCTAAATCTGATCCCTAAGCTCTCGCATCTGCACTGGTGCCATCCTGTATAGTGCTTTAGTAATAGGCGTAGTGCCTGGAGCTAAGTTAATCACAAAGTATATCTCTCGACTTGGTGGCAACCCTGGAATTTCTTGAAACACATCCAAAAATTCCTGTATAATTGGTATGCTATCCAGTGCCATAGAAATCTCCTCCTCGGTCTCCTCCTCCACATAGAACAAATAGGTGCTAGAAACCCGTTAGAACGTGGCATAGCGACAACGTACATATCCTGACCAAGTATAGTAAATACAATAGACCTATCATAACAATTAACTTCGGCATGGTAGTGAGATAACCAGTCTATCCCGGGTAACACATCATAAGAATGCATGTCCAAGATCAATAGATTGGCTAGAAATCTAAGTCCACCAATATATATCTAGTGTCACAGGCCCATCACCCTCATGTAAAATGGTAGTATCACCTATCACTGTAGAAATACCATGTGGTCAACCACATACTTGTATCACCAACTAAACTATAAAAATCAAAATTTCTGAATACTCCGTAGAGCAAAACACATAAAGTATACAAAATACTCCGAAATCTACTCACATTTAGAATATTGCTCTTTCTTGGGAATTCTTCCTTTGAAATCAAACTTACAGTATTGATTTACACAAGTACTTTTATAAACTCATTGGTAATCGTCTGGTACCCACACAACGTAGTTGTAAGTAAAAAAAAATTTGTTTACCTGCCCAAATATCAATCGTTCCACTGTGATATTCTTTTATTATGGTATCATACACTTTCCAATATAGTTTAATAAAACTATTTATGTAAATGTCACTAAAAATACTATCATGAAACACAGTAGAAATACCAAAACCACCAGTTCACTTTATTAAGAACTTCTTTAAATCATAAACTTCCAAAAGAATAATCGTCATACATTCTTTAAAATAATACTAGTGTACGTGATTTAAACAGGACTACACTTCTAATAATACTTCCATTACTACTAGTAATAAAAATCACTCTTAAAAGAGCCTTCCTCCTTGTGATTCGATATCTCCTCGTTTAGGACACTGCTTGGAAGTGTGACCAAACTCTCCACAAGTATAGTAACTACCCTGGAAAGTACCAAATTTCCACCTCTATTGGTTAGCCTGTGGCTGAACCTATCCTGCCTGTAGTCCCCCATTCTACTACCTTTAAGCTAACTAAGGACATTGTTTAGCTGTATACCCATAATCTCCGTAGGCAAAACAATAATCTTTAAACATATTCTGCACCACTAGTACTGCTTCTAGTGTTTACTGAACGTGTGGCTAATTCTGAAATACGGTTGCTACGCCTGCTGCTATAGCCTGAGCAATGATGTAAATTAACTAAGGAGAATACTCTGGATTCCTGCCCTGATTATAGCCCCGATCCTGAGACTCTTGAGTCTGCTGTACTTCATCCTACTCGATGTGCAACTGACCATCTTCCTCTTGCTCCTCCTCCTGAAACCTAGGCAGTTGTTGTTCTTCTTCCTCAATCTGCTGACGCCGTAGGAAATCCCGTTGCCTACGTGCTGCTCCCATTCGCTACTTGTTTCTTTGATTGACCCGTCTTCTTCTAGCGTTAACCATTCTGTTAACACCGAAAGATAGACATCAGTATAACTAAGCGGACCCTAGAGGAGTACAACGAATCCTAAACTTAAGCTCTAAATAAAAGAATACGCTATACGGAATTCTTATAGGAAAGAATCCTAGAGACACTTAAACCTAGAGTGCTCTAATACCAACTGTGATACCCCTCGATTTTAGAGCCACGGGTGATCAAGTCCGAGCACAGATGTGAGGGATACCAAACAATTAAGTATATAAATAAGCATAGAATACAAGAAGAATTAAATAATAAATAATAATTAAGCTAAAAGAAAACTAAATAATAAATCCATAACTTAATAAATAAATCATCCTCTAAATATAATAATTCAAAACTTCCGATATCATTACAACTCGGGAATCCATTTAGTGGACCCCTAATAATATCCCAACTGGAAAAATTATGAAACTGTAATCAAATCCAAAACTAAAACATAAAGAAGAGTCCTACGTAGTTGGAAGAGTGAAAAACTGTCTCTGCTCGGCATGAACAATCTCTAAGACTGGAACTATCGAACACCTAAAAAAATACTAGTGGGTCAGGCCCACGAACAAGTTCTACTCTATTACAATTCAAACAGAGACCCGATATACGTATACATCCTAGTCAACTCAACAATAGCTAAATAGTCCATACATATATATACACACTATAGGACGCTCACTGGACTATAGGTCTGCCTTAACCTAAATATAAGGCAACATGCAAATCGCATATAAAGTGAGCATGAGTACCTAGACCTACTAGGGCACACAAATGTCTTCTATATCCAATTATCCATCCTAGGCAATATACGCACCCTAACCATGATCCTGAGACTCAAGCTCATATCATGGCACCATAATCATATATATAAAGTCCGTATAAGCATAGGATAAAAATGTCATCCACTTGATACAATGGCCTGGCATAAATAAGGAGGACTTAACCTCTTTGGTTAATCCATTCCCTTATAAATAAATAGGTAGGATTTAAGATCTATGATTAATCCGTCCCCAAAATGCCACCGTCCCATACCGGTGCATTACATCCATATAGTCCAATAATTGATATAATAATTAAAATAACACATCAATTTATTCTAGAAACATGCATAATAAGAATCAGATAATAGCATCACTGCAAGAAAAATGACTTTTTACCACGGTGGAAAAGACTTTCTACCACGGTTTTGAACCGTGGTAGAAACAGCCGTGGTCGTAAAGTAGAGACTTTCTACCATGGTTTTGCACCGTGGTAGAAAGTCTATTTGCACCGTGGTAAAAAGTCTATTTTCTTAGAGAGTAATAGAATTTCTACCACAGTACATAACCGTGGTAGAAAGTATTATATAATTTTTAAAAAAAAAAAATAGTGTAGCCCATTTGAAGCCTTCCCCCCCCCCCTACTACTAGCCTTGGAAGGACCCCATAAGCAAACCCTAAATAAATAAAAAATAGCATTATAACCAAAATAATTTACAAGTGACCAGTAACATCATATATATATATAACCAATTCCAAATCATTGTTTTATACAAAAATTAGCCATATACAAATTTCAAATAAGTACATAATCCACACCTTATATATTTACTTAACCAAATAAAACAAAAATTCTTCATATCTTCTTGCAACTTTTTCATGAGCCATACAAAAAATATAGCTGCAACAAAAGAAGTAACGGCAATCGCAACCCGCAATCCTAGCTTTGACCTACAAAGATGTAATAGTTGAAGTAAGAGAATTAATGTAAATCAAGTTGTAAAGTTGCCAAAATTAAACCAAGCAAAGCAAGTATTATAATAAAGGTACATTGAAAGATCTACTCTTCATACTATAATAAAGCAAGCACATGTGGAAATAATAAATCTTGAGGAAATCCATCCAGAGAATAGAGGGGTATAAGATTCTTTAATCCTTAACATTTTCATAATAAAAGCAAGCATATAAATCACGCACATAAAGCATAATTCACTATATCAGTGAAATTACTACCAAAAAATGAGACACTTAAGTTCAGTAGCATAAATCAGGACCATATTTCTACTACTAAAAAATGGCAACTCAAGAATTCAATTTCAAAGAATTACGTATCAAAGATATCGTAGTGAAAAATAATCATATAATATTTGATCTACTGCCTCTGTTTGCATAGGGGCAGCAAAAATCTGTCCTTTGATTTTCTTCTCATTCATGGTACAATGTATCTCTTTGAGGTCAACTGACTCACCTCTATGTCCGCACCCCACAGCTAGTTGATCAACTATAAACTCTTCTATACATAACCAAACCAGCCTAAACAAAATCATAGACCAATACAACTTTCCATACTGGGAAAAAAATATAGTCAGGGAAGAATTGATTTCCATTATCTAACAAATGAAATCCTTCCCCATATTAGTGCACCAATTAATTTTTTTCTTCATGGGTAGGAAAGAGAGGCAGATGGATTGTAAGACACATAGTGGACTACCTTTTTTAAGTTTTCCCACACCTAATATGAATATAATATCCAAGTTCTCTCACGCGTGCCAAGATGACTGTTTAAGCAAAACGAGTGCTAAGAATTCATCAATGAATCAGAAAAAGAAAAAGCACCACTAAATGTCTACATAAGTGCACCACCATTCATACCTCGTGGAAAAGCAGAATATGAATGCTCAGATTGAAGACCAATGACCATTCGCATTGCTTATAATGTTACTAAAAAATACGTGAGAAAATACAATAACCATTGCTAAATGACAAACTAAAAGATGGATAGGACACATGCCATGCATGTTCCCAACACATATAGGTGAATACAATATAGTAGACATATATAGATAGTGCAGTGAAAGTGGCAAGGTCTCAACAACCATGACAGAGTTAATATAGGAGTGTTGAAGAGGGTAGCTGTGGCAGTGTGGGGTGTAGGTGCAAAATTTCGCTCAACCAATAATGATTAAGAAAAATAAAATAACTCACTCAATCAATAGTAAAATAAACAAGAACAATATATCTCGAAGCGTAGAATTGCTTGATCCCTTTATTGGAATACAAAAGATTGTAAAATTATGGTAGGACTCGCGTTACTTGCCCTCCAATTCTTTCTATATAAACATTTTTTACTAATAGAGTTCTTTCCATTGTCTAATTTTCCATACATAGAACTTGCCTTGTACAGAACTTCCTATCTCAGAATTTTCCTTCTACGGTAAATCCTTCAACTGGTAGGACTTGTACATTCTTGAATAACTGGGCTGAACATATTCTGATCCGGCTGGGCTTGAGTAACGGACCGGATGTTAAATATTAACAAGTTGGGCTGATGACCTCTTGATTCGGCCTTGATGGAGGTTAGAGGACAAATAACAATGGTCTTGGGCTATAAATACCCTCAATTTGGGCTTGAGCATGATGGGCCTTATATGTCCTTGGAATGTAGATATGTGTAGTGATGACGTGTGAGCTTTTTATTGGAGGGAGTTTTTTTCCCTCCACACTTTGCCCCAAATTTCATTTTTAATTGAGTGACGGCTCCTATTAAAGAGGGAATTGAAACCGGTTTTTTACTTTGCTTTAGAAACGGTTCGAGGTCTTTCATTATTACTCCGTCATACAAGATTTTGCAAGAGTTACATTCGCCCTTGCTGCACTTCTGCGTTCTTCATTCCATCGCTTTGTCAGGTTAGTTTTTTTTCGCATCTTTCTCTTCAATCTTTCATTATGAGTACTTCATCTACTCCCGAACGTATAGACATTGGGACTTCTGAATCCACACCTTCATCTTCCCCCGTTCGCATTAGGGCTCCCCCTCCTAGGGTTTCTACAGATCGTCTTTCGTTGAATCCATTAGGTACTTCCCCCCTTCCAGCCGAGACATCCACCTCAGGCTCTGATTATGTTCTTACTCATGAAGAGAGGAAAGCAATCATCTCTATTTACCGTATCAAGTTCTCTATTGCTTCAGTAATGGAAGAATTTGATATTCCTGAGGGAGTAGAAATTGCAGAATATCCCGAGGGTGCTGATTTTACCTCCGGTGAGGGAATTGAAGAGAGTGAATTGCTTCTTTCGGTAGGGCATCTTAATGCCCTCCGATTCCCTCTTCATCCCTTCTATCATTTAGTTTTCAACAAATTAGGTCTTGCCCCCCTTCAGGTAAATCCTAATTTCTTTCGCATCCTTTCAGCATTGTTGGTGCGCCGGAAATTAGAGGCTCTGGATTTGACCCTTGCCGACCTTCTGCTTACTTACAATATATCTAAGCATGGGACCGAGCCTGGTCGCTTCTTTTTTACCTCTCCCTTTCATCAGAGGATATGCATGAACCTTCCTTCATCCGAAAAGAAGTGGAAAGAAAGGATGGTTATAGTTAAAGGAAAATGGTTCGTGCCCCAATCAATTACGCTCCCCATCCCGCGCAAGTTCGGGAAATTAGGTATAGAATACTTAACCTCCCTTCATACCAAGTGTTCTGGCTGTTTTTCTTGCCAAGTCTTAATGTTTTGCCGTACTTATGAGTTTCTTGGTGTTTTTTCAGCTACATTCCCATCCTCCGCAGCAAGGAACAGATTTTATTTTCTTGAGGAACGAGTCTGGAGTGACCTCTCGCCTATCGAGGACCTGCTAACTTCTTCAAACCTCAAGGATATTGCCTCCAGTGTTGTTGCTGTAGACCTCATGGATCTGTCTCTACCATCCTTTGACAGTTTCCCCATGACTGATGAGGATATACGGAGGGCTGAGGCTTTAAAAAAGAAAGCTGAAGATGCCCAACCCTTGGTCGTTACTAGATTTACTGAGGATGAGGTGGAGGCTGAGGAACCACCAATGAAGATATCTCGCCTTAACCCCCCATCCTCTGGCAAGGGCAAGGTCCCTTCTAAAAGCAGAGGGAAAAAGGCTGGAGAGGCCGAACCTGAAGATGAAGTCAGGGCCTTTGTTCTGGCTGAGACTGGGGCTCCTTGGACTCCTTCCTTCACCAAGGCTGACAAGTCAGTCCTGCACTCAGGGGATTCTGTGATTACAGACCCTTCAGCTGCACTGGCGGTAGCTCGAGGGATGTGGCTCCCAAAGGATGAGGAAGCCATCAGCCAAATGGGGTTGGAACAACTACTCCCCTCTGCCCCGGTCCGGGCCATAGAGGTTCGCATTGCTCCTTTAGAATTATGTTACTCTTGCTTGCTTATGTTTCCATTTATGCTCATATTTGTTCCTCTTTTATACAGAGTCTATACCACACCATGGCCCTCTGCGCCACCGCTGAAGCCCAATCCCTCTCCATCAAGAAGCTGGAAAAGGATCTTGACAATGCAAAGAAAAGAGCCACCACTGCCTCTACCAATCTGAAGATAGCATCTGAAGCCAAGGATGCGTATAAGAGGCAGTTGGCAGCCTCTGAGGCTAAGGTGGATTCTCTTCAGGCCAAAGTTCAACGCCTGACCGAGGTTCTTACTACTTGCTTCAAGGCGAGGAAGCAAATGCAGGGGCGCTACTCCTATCTGGCACACCTGGCTAGTGCTAAAGCGTTCCGGTCTGGCTATAATCAGGGCTCAGGCCCTAGGACGATGGATCCGGACACTTTTGACAAGCAGGTGGGAGTGCACTTCCCATATGATGAAGGGCCAGAGGCTTTGGAAGCTGAAATTCGCTTTGCCGAGATGGTGAAGGCGCACCTGAAGGGTACTCCTAGCTCTTCTGCCCCTGCGGCATCAATTCCTCCTACCCCAAGTCCTACTGTAGTGGATGCTTTTGAATCTACTCCCTTCGATCCGAAGAGGAAGTAGAACCATGTATTTTGTTTTTATGGACAGTATGTTTGGGATAATGAATATAATTTTTTGTTTTAGGCTTTCAATACCTGATTTTTTTTGCTGTATGCTTTTGATACTGTTTATATTTTTCTGACTGGTAATGTGTTTAAACAAAACACATTGTCTTTATGCTTCGGATTTATGCTATCTGAGAAAAAGCAAGGATGGTGGGAAGAAGGAAATCCTTTTAATAGTTTAGTTGATATCTCAGGATGATTCATATGGACAATGATTTAACTGTGCCTTTTACTTGCCTGCAGTAGACGTATACATACTCTTTCCTTCTCGTGTGTTGCTGATGTGGGGTGGATCATGATGAACTTATGATATATCCACATCCACAGGGTATTAAACACTTGGATTCCGGAGGAAAAAGTTCTGATCCGGGCACCAGAGGTCTGAAGTGAATTATTCCTCGGCACTGAGTGTGGAGGAATATTGTTGAATAGGACACTTAGGGTCCGAAGCTGTCTCGGATACTTAGGTTTCGAGGAGGATTGTTCCTCGGCACTGAGTCATGGAGGAATAGTGCTGAATAGGACACTTAGGGTCTGAAGCTGTCTCGGACACTTAGGATCCGAGGCGAATTAAACACTCCCTGGCGCGGAGCCGGAGGGGAGGTTTTGTCGAGCCGGACACTTAGGGTCCGGAGCGAGATTTTTGCCGAGCCGAACACTTAGGGTCCGAGGTGAGATTTTTGCCGAGCCGAACACTTAGGGTCCGAGGCGAGATTTTTGCCGAGCCGAACAATTAGGGTCCGAGGCGAGATTTTTGCCGAGCCAGACACCTAGGGTCCGAGGCGAATGATCTATTCCCCGGCGCTGAGCCTGAGGGGAGGTTTAAATGAATTATTCCCCGGCACTGAGCCAGAGAGGAGGTTTTGCCAAGCCGGACACTCAAGGTCCGAGGCGAATG